TTATTTATTTTTTTAGATTTTTTGATTTTTTCTAATATTTTTAAATATTATTTATTTAAAAATAAATTAGAATTATTAATAAATTTTTTTATTATTTTGTTTTTAAAAAAATAATAATAAAATAATATATTATAAATATTATTTTAGTTCTATTTGTTAATAAAATTTAATTTTATCCATATTTATATTTATTTTATAATAAATAAAATTTTAAAACTATTCTTAAATGATATCTAACATTTTATAAATAAATGAAATTTTTAAATTTTTTTTATTAGAATAAAAAAAAATAATGTTAGAAATTTAATAATTATTTTTTTTATGTTGATTAAGTTTTTTTTTAAAAATAAAATAAACAAAAATTTATTTAAAATAACTTATCAATTATATAAGATTATTTTTAATATATATTCATCTATCTTATCATTCTGATTATTATATAATGATAAATTATTTTTAAGATTTTTTATATAATATTATCTAAATACACATTTATTTTAGCATTTGCCACATTTTCTGTTCTTAAATACTGTAATTAACTATTTTTAAAAAATACCTAAAGTAACATAATCGAAAAACTCTCCCTAACAAAAATTTTGTTGAATATTTAATACCAAAATAAGATTATTTTAAAAAAAATTGGAAAGATACAAAAGATTATTAATTATAAAAAAAAATATATAATATATAGTAACTTTATTAAAAATTTATATATATTTTATTTATATGTCAAATTAAAATAATTTAAACATATATTTTTATAAAAAGTAGGTTTATCAATTTATTGTACTTAATTCAAAAGCATTTTTTTAATAATAATATTTTTTTTACATATTGCTATTTAAATATTATTTATATTAACTATATTTTCAATTATATTTTATTTATTTTTTATTATCTAAAAAATTTTAATATAATAATTTTTACCATAAAATTAAATATAATGTTCTAAATGCTTCATGAAAGAAAAATATAAAATAATAATAAGCATGAATTTATTATTATTATAATTAAAATTTTTTTAAAAGTTTAAAATATATATATTATTTATTAATTTCTTACTATTGATTATAAATTTTTAATATTTATATGTATTTATATAATTTTTATTTTATTTTCAGATAAATAACTGATTTCTTCTTAAGTTTTTAAGAGTATTGCAAATGATAAAACTCCTTAACTTCACATATTGTTCTAGGAACACTTTTAATTCTTTAAAAAAAGTTAGTTAGTCTAATTATATTTTTATTAATTTAAAATTAACAATCAAAATTTATTTAGTTATTTCTTAACTATATTCAAATAAATTTTAATCATTATAATATTTTACTATGGATTTATTTCCTAAAATAATTATGATTTTTTATATATTTTTTAAGCTAATATATAACTTAAATTAACGATAATATATTTGGATTACTTTTTAAAATAAAAAATATCTTAAATTATTTAAATAATATTTTTTTTGAGTTACTAAACATTAATTTAGTATCAATTTGAATACTAATACATATTTTTAAATCCATATTATTATAAAAAATTGTTAAAATAAGTTTAAAATTAGAATAATATATACTAATATTTTTGATCCTTCTATAAAAAAAAGAGAATTCTATGCTTAAAGTTTCACTATATATTTAAAGTATTCAAAATAAAAATAAAAGTATAATAAATAACTTTTTTGTTTGTCGATAATTTTTCAATAAAGGATTTTAATTTATAAAACTTATATCAAATGATATTTTACTTATATATTATAAATATGTTTTTAATTTAAAATTTAAAATAAAAAAGTTTATAAAGGTATATCTACTTATGTAAAAATTTTATAGTGGCTTTTTATGAATAATTTTTAATTAATTTGCACAATAAAAATAAATTAGATTAAATTATAATAATACTTTATATATATAAAATCAGAAAATTCAAATTATTTTTAATTAATTATATATTAAAAATCTTTATTAAAATTTTACAATCTAAATCTTTAATAATAAATAATAGATATAATATAAAATTAAATTTTATATATATAAAAAAAAAAATTAATATTTATTATAATTATTATTTTTTGTAATTATTTTTAATATAAATTTATTTCTTAATATGTTTTAAATAAATAATTATGTATATAAATTTTACTATATATATTTTAATCTCTTAATTTTTATTTTAATATAATACAGTGTTATTTTATTTTTTATTAATACATATTTTTTTAGATATTTATATAGTTTATAATTTTAAATTAAGAACAATATATTTGAATTTATTTAATCAATGTATAGCCAAAATATATTTATAATTAACAATAAAATATATAATATATTTATTGAGTTATTTAAATAATTATTTGGGAAAAAAAAAATTAGATTAACATTATTTTATCTAAATAAAAAAATGAAATTAAGTTATTTTTATTGTAATTTAAAAAATATATCATTTAATGGAATAAAATTAATTGATTGATATCTAAATTTGTAAGTTTAAATAAATATTATATCAAAAAATGTAAAATTACGAATTTTTATTAAATAATTTTGAAAATCTTTAATATGTAAAATTATATAAAAAATTCTTAAATTTTGCATAAATATAATAAGTCTAATATAATTAAATAATCAATAACATATAATATTTTAATAAATTTTAAATAGTTAATATATTAAAACTATTTTTTTAAAACTAATTATAAAAAATAAATAAACAAACTTTATTTATTTAAATATATATAAAAATATGATATTTTATAAAAAATTAAATTGCAATTTAATAAATATTTATATTTATAATTAAGTAATCAAAAAAAAATTAATAAAAACTATCAAATTTTAATTTCAAAAAAAATTAAAAAATAAAAAATAAAAAATAAAAAAAATGTACAATATATTTAAAAAAAATTGCATGTAAAAAAAAAAAATTAGAAAATATATCTTTTATTAAATAATATATAATATAAATCTATATTTAATAATATTATATTTTAATTAAAAATTATTATAAATAAAATAGTGTTTTATATCTATTAAATATCTATATATATAAATTAATTTTATATAAAATAAAATAAATTTAATTAAAAAATAAAAATAATAATAATATAAAATAAAATAATCATAAAAAATAACAAAATAAAGATAATTAAATAAATAAAATATATTAAAAAATAAAATAAAGTAAATTAAAATTTATATTTAATTTATTAAATAAATAAAAAATGATTTTAAAATCAATTATAGAAGTACAATAATTTATAGAATCTATTGGTTAATCTCATCTTTTAAAAGACTTTAATAAGTATAATTCTCAATAATAGTAGGAGTTTATAGATTAAGTAATAAATAAAAAATAAAATACTTAATACCTAACAAAAATAGATAAATAAACTAAATCAGACATATCCTGGAGGACTTAAAGAATATACTGAACGTGCTAAAAAACTATTAAAGGAAGCTTGTGAAAATGTTAATCCTTATGAAGGATTCTAACCAGAAGTCCCAGTAGGACAATAAATAAATTTCTCCTCATTTGAAGAAGTTGAAAAATATGAAAGTGTTGGAAGAGAAGAACTTAGATCAACTGGATTTGTACTTGTAGCAGGAGGTTTAGGTGAACGGTTAGGTTATTAGGGAATCAAAATAGGAATTCCTATTGAATTAACTACCAGATAAACATTCCTAGAGTACTATATGGATTTTATAAAAGCTTATGGGAATGAAACTGAACTTGCAATCATGACATCTGATGATACATATAAACTTACAATTGAATTATTAGAAAAAAATAATTATTTTAACTTCCCTAAAGAACGTTTAACAATAATGAAATAAGAAAAAGTACCTGCAATGCTTGATAATGATGCTAGATTTGCTCAAATACCTAATTCTTTATTGATAGAAACAAAACCACATGGTCATGGAGATGTACATACTTTATTACATTAACATAAATTGACAGAAAAATGGTTAAAGCAAGGAAAAAAATGGGTTATATTTTTCCAAGATACAAATCCATTAGTATTTAGGTCTTTACCATCAGTTTTGGGAGTATCTAAAAGTAAAAATTTAGAAGTAAATTCAATTACTGTCCCTAGAAAACCTGGGGAGGCAGTAGGAGCAATATGTAAATTAGTTGGAAAGGACAAGTCATTAACAATAAATGTTGAATATAATCAATTAGGAGGATTAATTCCTAATGAACCTGTAGATTAGGATGGATATTCATTATTTCCTGGAAACATAAATTCTTTAGTTTTTCTTTAAATGAATATCATCATACTCTTGAAAAAACCAAAGGAAATATTTCTGAATTTATAAATCCTAAATATGCTGATGCTTCTAAAACAGTATTTAAAAGTGCAACCAGGCTCGAATGTATGATGTAGGACTATCCAAAATTACTTGATAGTGGAGATAGAGTAGGTTTCACTTAAGTTGCTAGAAATTTTTGCTTTTCAACTTGCAAAAACGATATTAAAACTGCTTAATAAAAGTTCATTTAAAATATGCCTGCTGAATGTGCTTCTGTCCTCGAGTAAGACTTTTATGATGTGAATGCAAATATTCTTAGACTTTGTGGAGCTTAAGTTGAGGCTTGTGAAAATCATTAATACGATTTTGAAGGAATCAAACTAAGATTAGCTCCCTAAATAGTTCTAAAGCCTGATGTAGGGGTCACTTTAGCTGAAATTAAAAAAATATTTAAGGAAAAAAACTTTATATTACTAAAAATAGTTCTTTTGTTTTTGATTAAAATTCCCTTAAAAATTTAAATGAGCTCATTATTGATGGATAATTTGGACTCCCAAATAACTGTTAGTCAAAAGAAAAATATAGAAAATTTGTTCCTATTGGTTAAGATGCACCCTAATATTTATAGATTAGAGGTTACGATGTAGTTTGATAATTTTTTTTATTTTATTAAAATTGATAAAAATATATTTATAGATTATATTATATTTAATTTATTTAAAATATTTATATTTTTAGGTTTTACAATTTTTTATATTTTATCCAAATAATGTTAATTAATTTTTATTTCACGAATTTTTTAAAAATAGCTTTAAAATATTATAAAATTTAACATTAAAATATTCAATTTTGTCATAATTATCGTACTCAGATGAATCATAGAATAAATAATTATTACATCAACTATTAATAAAATAAATATTATATATTAGCAAATATATATTTTGTATAATTTATAATATTTTTAATTAATATTTATTTAATTGTTTTAAAATAATTGTATTAGTAGTATTTAATATTCATTTTCAAAAAGTTGATAAAATAATAAAATAAAACAATAAAATGAATTTTTGTGGTGTGATATTTATTTTAACTAAATTAAATATATTATTTATTATGTATGTTTTATATATGATTATTGATCAGAAAAATTATTTTAATTTTTTATTATTTTATAATTATGATTATTTTAATATCTAAACTATTTAAACTTTTAATTATTTTATAAATAAAACTTTAATATTATTTCGTTTATTTATGCCTGATTAGCAAATTTTTTTCTCAAAAAATGACATTAACTAATTTATTTATTTTTTGGATGATAATAAAAAAAAAATTAATAAATGAGATATAATATTATAAAAATTTTATACATTTGAATATTTAATAATAATTGTTAATCTAAAAAAATATTTATTAGATTTTTATTTATTTTTACATATTAATATGAAAATTTTAATAATATTTTTAATAAAAAAATATATAAATATTATTAATGAATAAATCAAAAGAAGAGTAAACGAAAATATAAAGCAAGTTATTAAATTTAAGTAAAAGAATAAAAGAACTAAAATTAAAAAACTTTAACAACACAGAAATTACTTCCATATTTAAATTGCCTAAAACTTTAATTCTTTCTAATATTTTAATATTCTTAAATGATTAAGACATTTACTCTTTATCATTGGCAAGCAAAAGATTCTATAATTTAATATATAGTCCATTAGGTTTTAAAATTATAGATTATTCTCGTTCTTTTTGTAATGAAAAATATTTTTTTAATTGTGTATAGCAAACTAAGCTAGAAATTTCTTAATCTTTATAATAAAGCCAAGAAAGCGATAAAGTAATAAATTATGAAGAAGGAGAAGATGCTTCGGCTTATATTTCTACTTTAAAATAAGTTAGAGTTTTGCTTACTTAATAGTTAATTGAATAATAATAAAAAATAGAAAATAAATAAGAAAATATTAAAATGATTGAAGATGAAATAAAAATTGATTGTAAAAATAATGATATTTAATAATCAAAAATAAAATATTTAAATTTAAGAATATAAACTGCTTATGAAAAATTATAAAATTAAATAACTTAAATCGATGAAATTAAAATGGGAACTCAAGAAAATGTAAGAATTCAACTTAATTACTTAATTAATATATTAAACAAATTATACTTAATTTTTTAGTTTTTATAAATATATTAATAAAAATGTTTTTTATTTACATAGATTTTACAAAACAATATATTATAATATTTAAATATACAAATATAATTATTCAATTTATTTATATTTTTAATTATTTAGATTGTCAAATAAAAAAAGAAGTTGAAATGAATAAGAAAAATAATGAGTATTTATAAAAAATAAAATATGTTTTACTGACTTAAGTAAATTAATTTCATATATTTTTATTTTAGTTTTTAAAAATAAAATTTCAAAAAAGATAAATTTAATATAAAAAGAAATTAAAAATACTTCAGATAATAAAGAATCTATATTGAACTTACTTAGAAAAACTAATTAATATATTTAAGAATAAAATATGTGATTATTTTAAAATATTTATTTTTTAATATTTTAATTATAATTAAATTTAAAAATTTAAAAAAATATAATCTATTTTTTATTATAAAATTAAATAATAACTTTTTATAATCTTTATTAATATAATAATTTAGTCTTTTAATAACGATGATTAAATTTTGGTATAATAATAATAACAAAATTAGTTTTTTATTATGTGTATTTGTTATATTTTATAATATAAATTCATTTATTTAAAGTTTTTTATTATGTAAGTTTTATTATTTTGTTTTTATATATTATTGGTTTTATACTAATTTTTTTTCTGGAGTATTTATGCAATAATATAAAATAAGAAATTTATCTATCTAATTTTAAAAAAGAATTTATAAAATTTGTGCCTATTCTTTCATATTTTATATTTTTATATTAATGAATGATTAAAAGGTTTTAAATTAGGTATATTTATTACAATATATAAAATTTAAAATAACATAAAAATTTAATTAAAATAATAATTTTTTTAAAAAAAATAATAAAAAATTTAAAAATGCAAAAACAACAAAAAGTGACAGAAGAAGTATCCGAATTCGAAAATGAAGAATCAAAGAATTAATTTGTTTTATAAGTAAAGAAAAGGAATGAAACACATGTAAAATATATTCGAAAATACTTAAAATTAAAAGAAAACGATAATATTTTAGACTTCTATATTCCTTTGAGTATTAATTAGTATTTTATTAAAAACCATTTATAGTTTTTGGGATAATAGCATATAATATTTAATGTATCAAATTTAATTGCTATAAAGAATATTTAAAATAAGGAATATATTTTTTTATAAAAAGAAGGTCATTTTAAGCATATATCATGTATTTAAAGCGGTATATTAGAAAATTAAAGTAAAGACATAATAAATAAAAGTATTATAGTAATAGGAGAGAATATCGGTGAATAAAAAAATGCAATAATAACTTTAATAATAAAAAATAAATGGAGTTTTTGGAAATTTGATTAGATTGGGATAATAAAAGAAATATATATAAATACAGAAAATTAATATATAGCTTCTTAAGTTTGCTTGCAAAGTCAAAATTTGATTTATTTATATAGTTATAGGAAAGGAAAAATACTTGCGGAAATGAATATTAAAATGGATAATATAAGTCTTTCTATTAATCCTTAAAAACCTACAAAACTAATAATTTCCTCAAATTGCTATTTAAAATAATGGGAAGTTTTTTTTCAAAAAAAATGCTTCAAAGAAAGTGTTAATTTACTTTTACCTGTAAAAGTTTAAAACGAAAATAATTTTATAATGCATACATGGAGTTCCGGAAACTTCTTAGTACCCAAACTTATTGTTTTAGCTTAAGGAAACATACTTTTTATTTTTTAAAATGAATTTTTACAATAAAAAGTTAATTTGAACAATAGCTTATTAAACTTTTAAATAATAAATTCTGAAGAATTTAATGAAATTTTAGATATTGATAAATAGAAAAATCTTTTTTAAAAAGAAAATGTAAACTTTTGTTGTTTAACTAGTATTAAAAATGGATTTATTTTAGGGAGTGATAATTATGGATGTTTAAGCATATTTGAATGTGAAGAAAAGTAAAATAATACAATAAAAAATTTAATGAACTTTTAAATAAAAATAAATGGATTTATGAACTTGAAAATATTATAAATTTAAAGTTGTTGTAAAGATAATAATATTTTAATTATTTCTTAAAGAAATAATTTACTAAATTTTCATTTATTTAATCCTTATTAAATTGATTCAGAGCTTTCGCCTATCTAACCTTTTATTAATCTAGGATTTCATAGAAAAAGAATTCATAAATTAACTACTTGTATTTTTTTATTTGGTTTGTTATTAAAAAAATAATTATAAATTATAATAAAAAGGTATAAGTAAAAATATTTTCGCATCTTGTTCTGCAGATTTTACAGTTAGAATTTGGAATTATTTTGATATTTAAAATAATGATAAATATAATATTGTCACGTAATGTTTTTCAGAAGAACCTTTAAATATAAGTTTACATCCTAGTGGACTTTTTTTGGCTGTTGGATTTTCAAATTATTTTATTGTAATAAAAAAATATTATTGAATCAATATTTTTATTCATTATTTTAAAAATAAGATATTTGCTATTTTTAAATCATCATTGAAATTTTTAAAAAAAATTTAGGCAGAAAATTGTTCAATATTAGAATATGCAAATGGAGGTCATTTTCTAGTTTCTAACAAGAATAATTTGGTAATAATATTTGATACTATAAATTATGATCCATAATAAGTAAAATTTAAATAAAAAATGAAAGAACAAAAATATAATAAATATAATAATAATAAGGTTTTAGAAGGACATCCAGCATAAATAAAACATATTTGTATAACAAAATGTGATTAATATATAATATCTTTATCTCTAAATGGTTGCATTTTCTAATGGAATATTTTAGAACCATAAAATAATACACAAAGAACATATGAACATATAGACTCTTTTGTTTATACAACATTTTATTTTGAATATATGTAAACAAGTGATAATTAATTACCCATAAATGATATATTTATTGGATTTTCAACTTATAAATACTTTGTAATTTATAAATAAAAATGGAAACAATTGATTGCTGAATTTGTAGTTGAAGATAATATTTATGTTACATGTTGCGTAGTTTCAAATTAATTAAAGTCAATGTTTTTAGGACTTTCAGGGGGTTAAATAAGGCATTATTTATGGCCTTTAGATGAAGATATGATGAAATATGAAATACTTGATAAAAATTCTGGAAAAGTAAAACTGTTATAACCTGATTATATTGAAATATAAGTTCATTAATTTGCAGTGAGTTCTTTAATAATTTCGGCTGATAATAAAATGCTTATAAGTGGAGATGAAGGGGGCTGTTTATGGATTTTAAGTATTAAGGATTTCAGTTTGGATGATAAAGGAAAATATTTAAATAATAAAAATTAAATTAATGATTATTTTTTTGAAGAATTAAATAATGTGTTGAATTTTAGAGAAGTTATAGAAAAATAAGAAGAAGAAATAAAAAATATAGAAAAGATTTGTGATGACTAGAGAATAAAAAGTGATAAAAAATATATTGAAATTAAAAAAAATAAAGTTATTTAAGAAGAAAATATTATAAAAAAAATATAAGAAGAAATGGAAGTTTTAGAAATAAATGAATAAAAAAAATATTTAGAATTGAAAAATATATTAAAAAAAGAAAAAGAAAAAAAAGAAAGAGAAAATGAAGAAAAAAAACAAAATTTTTAAACTTAGATAGAGTTTGAGTAAAAGAAGAACATATTTTTAAATTAAAAAATCACTGAAAATTAAGAAAAAAATATAAATTCTTTAAAATAAATTGAAAATTTACATTTAATTGAAATGGAATAAATAAAAGAAGAATTTTTTTAAAAAACATACGAAATATAAGAAAAAATATAAAAAATAAAAAAATGTTTTAATAATTTAGATGAAATAAATTTATAGTAAATTGAAAACTTAGAAAATGAATTCGAAAAAGAAATAGAATCGAAAATGAAATAATTAAAATTAGAAATATTTAAAATTAAATAAAAAAATATTGCCCTTTGCAATTAAAATTAAAATCTTTCTTAATTTTATGATGAATTGGAAATAAAAGACAAAAATTACTGTGAAGAATTGTAAAACCTAAAGAAAAAGCATGAATAACTAAAAGTAGAAAACATAAAAAATGATTAAAATATTCTCAAATTGCAACATTAGTTGTTGGAAAGGTTATAAGTTATTGATTATAAAGATGAAAATTGTAAAAACGCGAAAGATGAATAAATTAACTTAGAAAATTTTAGATATATGTTGAAACAAAAGGAAACAAAGCTATAAATTTAAAAAGGAAATTTATAAGAGAAAGTAAAGAATAAGCATAATTTGGCTAAAAATATGCTTTAAGAATTATTATAGGAAAGTAAAAAAAATGAAAAGTTCAAAATCGAGTTAAAAAAAATAAATAATGATGTTTTTTTTGTGGAAAAAAATATAATTTCAAATGAAGAAAAAGTTAATTCTTATTTTGAAAAATTTAAAGCGTTTCATTTTGTGCTTTTAGATATTTTAAAAGGAAAAGATACGATTTAAGTTGTGTCAAGAAAATTAAATGAAATTTTAAATGATAAAATTAATTTTAGAAATTAAAAATAATATGTGGATTTAGATTTTGTTTTAAATAATACTTTTAATGATAATAAATTAAATTTGTAATTAGCATAATAAACTAAATTTACTCATAATTAAATTACTAATGTAGAAAAAATATTTCATTAAATAAAATTTAATAATTAATAAGAATACCAGATTATTTATGCTGAAAATAATAATTTGATTAAAGAATGCAATTTTCTAAGAGTTTTTAATGATAAATTAAGGAAAGAGTTAACTTTTTTATAGAAAAAATATTAGGAATGCTTAAGAAATAAAGAAAATTCTACACAGAAAAATCAAGCTTTTTTAACTTAATGATTACTTTTTTTACATATAGTTTTTTTATTTCAATCCAAAATCATGTTTTTAAATTATAAACTATAAATAAAGTAAATATTTGATATTATAATGTAAAGCTTATAATTTTAATATTAATTAATTTAATTTATAATTAAATAAGAATTATATTATAATAATAAATATGAATTCATTTTATATGAAATTTTCAATTTATAAAAAATATAATTAACTTAAAAAACATTATAAAAAAATAGTATTTTGAAAATAAATATTTTTTATAATATATAATTTATTTTTTTACCAAAAAATACAAATATTATAATTTTAATAGCTATAATTAAATATTTACCATTAAATAATCAAAAAAATTGATTTAGTATATGTTAATAATACCACAAAAATATATAAAATAAAGTAAAAATAATCAAATAAATTAATATTATACAATTATAATAAAATTAAATAGATAAATATGGGATTATTAGGAAAAACATTAAAAGGTAGAACAGTTCGTCCTGGTGGCTTTCCTCCAATAAGAAACATAAAATGGCGAAAACTTACACAAAGTTAAGAAGAATATGAATAAAATTTATAATTATAGAAATTATAACACGAAAAACTTAGAAATTAAATTTTGGAAGAATAAAAATTAATATTTTTAAACAAAAGAAAACTACATATATATTGGCGAAAAACTCTAAGGGTATTAAAAACAGAAGATTCACGTAAATAAATGAGCCTGCTAATTTAATATTAAGAACGTGAATTGGATAAAAAACAAGGCTTTATAAGAATGTTGGATAATAATTTGGATTTAGCTGATGAATAATTTTATATTTCACTAAAAAACCATTTATTGCATTTAGAAAACTTAAATAATATATAAGAACAAAGAATAAATGGAATAAATAATGAATTTATGAAAGATTTGAAAATTCTAGAACAAGAATTTAGAGTAGAAAAAGATAGCATGGATAAAACACATGAAACTAACGTAAGAGAGTTAGAAGAATTTATAGAAGTAATAAAAGAAGAACAAAAATTATCAAAAGCAGATTAAGAAAATGATTATGCATAAATGAAAGAGTAAACAAGAAACTTAATTATGGAAGAAATTAATAATATAAAGCTATTTTTAGAAAGCAAATAAATAATATATTATACCTAACTCGAATAGTTAAATTCGAGATTTTAAAATGATACTTAAAATAAAGTAAAAGAACATTAATTTTATTATTAAGACAGTAAATAAAAATAAAAATAAATTGATAGATATTTAAGACTAATAAAATATAAAAAAATCGAAATTGAACTTCTGAAATTAAAAATTAATTAACTTGTTAAGGAATGTTCAGATAGAAATTAAAATCTTAAATATGAAATAAATAATGTACATAAATTATATAAATAACTTAAAAATTAGATGTTCTAATTCAGAGAAGATATGATAAATAGGCTTAAAGAATTGATCACTAATTAGAGAGATGTTATTATTTAATTAAAATAATATGTTAGCTAAGGCGAAAGAATGCTAATATTAGCGGAATTAAGTATATTTTTATTTATAAATTCAAATATTTATAATTTTATTAGGTCGAAAGTTTGAAACTGAAAGAGAAAAAGTAATCCCTTATTACGAAAGTTCGACTATTAATGAAAAACCTGAAGATGTTTAATATTACAAGTTTTTATCTTAAGAAGATTTAAAAGAATAGGAGTATTTAGATAATTTTTTTAAAAGATTTAATAAAGTTTTATTAGATAAATTAGCAATTTAATAATAAAAAGAAATACTAGAAAAATAAAATTATACTCTAAAAGATTTACTCAAATAATAGCTTGATGGAATTTCTATAAATGATAATATCATAAATAATCTTAATAATCCTCTTTTTATTGTTAATAATAAATATTAAATAGAATAAAATATATTAAAAAAAACGGAATCAATTAAAGTTAAATAAAATAATAGAGTATGATAAAGAATATTAAATGAAATTCTTTATTTATCCATTGTATATTATAGATGTAAATCTTTTAAATTAATATGTTTAATTATATATAATTTTACTAAATGTTTAAATATAAAGTTATAATATTATTATTATAATAAATATATATAATTTTTTTTTTTAATAAAATATTAAAAAAATTAATTTATATAAAATTAATTAAAACTATATAATAAATTAATATATATTTTATATATTAATTTAAAAAAATGAATTTAAAAAACATTCATGTACAATCTATATTTGAAAAGATATAAAATAAAATTTTGAGAAAAATAGAAGAGGAGTTTTATTGTGGAAATTGCAATTTTAAAAATTAAGTATAATTGGATTAATTTAAATAAGCCTGGCAAGACAATTTGAAAAAATTGTTATATAAAAATCAAAATTAAACTTAAAATGAAAATAAATAAATTTATGAAGACACTTTATAAAAAAAAATAAAAACAAATGATGAAGAAATAAAAATTATAGATTCTTAACACAAATTATAAAATGAAAATAGTCTTAATTTTTCACTTAATAGCTAAGATCTAAATGATGTATATAACTAAGTTATTGACACAAATTATTTTGATAATTATAAGAATTATTTAGAGGGATTTATTGAAAAAAAGATAAAATCTTCTAAGAAAAAAAATAAAAATAATACATAACAAATAATATCTATTGATTTTATAAGCGTGATTGGAATTATTGGTGAAGAAGAGATTGTATTTTCATCGTTAAAATCTAATTTAATTGATTAAAGTAATGAAAAAAAAAAATGATTAAATTATTTTATAATCAATTTATTATTTTCAATTTATATAATTTACATATATAAACATATTTTTTATTTTTTTAACAATATAAATTTGAATAATATATTTCTATATTAATAAATATTTATAATTTTATATTATATACAAGATTCGATCTTAGTTCGAACTTAAAAAAAATAATTTCATGATTTAATAATTTTCAAAATCAAATGTTAAGAATTTGAATATTATGTAAAACAAAAAAATTGTTATATTTAAATTTATATAAAATTTAATAATAAACAAATCTAAATACGATAAAAATAATTTATATTTACTATTAAAAATATAATAAAATATTAGATATATTCAAAATAATATATAAATATTAATAAGATATTTTTATATTTATATAATAATCAAAAAAAATTTTTTTATATTATAAAAAATATATCTGAATATGTAGATTATTATATAATAAATATAAAAAAATAAATATATTAAATTTAAAAAAATATAAATAAATATATTTAAATTAATAAATTATAAAATTAAGATATAATATAATAATTTTTTGAATATATATATATATATATATATAGATATAAATATATATTAATTAATATATATATATATTATATAAATTTATTTAATATAATTTATAATATTTATGTAATTATATATATATATTTTATTTTATTTATTTATATTTATTTATTTTTAAAAACACTTTTTTTAATATTATATCATATTAAAAATCAAAAATTATATATAATAAATATAAAGTTAAAATTTTTTTATTTTGATACTAAATTATTAATTATTATAACAAACTATTTTCAAATTTCATATTAATTATTTTATAATTTTAATAAAATAATTATATATTTTTTTTTTTCTTATAATATTCATTTTATTATTATTATTATTATTATTATTATTATTATTATTATTATTATTATTATTATTATTTATTATTAATATATTTTTATTATTTTATTATATTTATTATTGTTATTACATTATTTTATATCTTTTTTTATATATAATTGTCGAAATAATAATTTAAATATCTCATATTTTTGCTGAATATTTTTTTTAATCAGCTTTAAAGAATTCTTATTTTATAGATTATTATGACTAATACTTTTATTTTTTTTTATAAAAGTCATGATTAAATATTATATTTTTTTATATATTTGTATTATTTAATAAATTCAAAAATTATCTATTTTATTTTAACATATATTTGGTTTATATCTTTATATTTATTTTTGATAATATTAAAAATAATATATTTTTTTTTTTTTAATTTGAGCAATATTTATTAAATTTTTATCTTGTAAAAGTAGTTTTTTTAAATTATAATATTAAAAATTATACAAATTATTAATTGTATATTATAATATTTATCACTTATTTATATATATTTTTTAAATAAATTATTTATTTTTAACTAGGGAGGTATATTAATATTTTTAAATAATTAAATAAAATATAATATTAAATATAAATATTGAAATTTTTTTTAAAAAATTTAATATTAAATATTATATATAATATATATTTCACTTTTTATAAAAAAATTATTATACCATTAAAAATATCATATTTTTTTAAAGCTTAAGATAAAAAATATTGAAAATTTTAAACCATTTGTATTTACAATTAGTGAAGAATATAAATTTAAAATTATTAGAAGATATCAATCTAAATACTGTTAGACCACAGGAAACTGATAAAAAAGATATAATAACTTGTATTAGAAATTTTATAAGTTATTATATTGCTTATTATTTAATCCAATATCGATTTTTTATCACATTTTTTGATTTTTTTAAAAAATAATAAAGTATCACTCTAAATTATTGGTAAATAATCTTAAAAATACGGATTTGAAATAATAATTAGAATAAAAATAATTTAAATTAGCGAATAAAAACATGAAGAAAGGATTGAAGAGATGGATTTAGGCAAAAATTTTGTTTAGAGATAAGAAAAAAGCATTACAATCTTACTAAATAGTTATGATATCTAAATTTTATTCTAGAAAATTTTAGAAAAATCATTAATTTATATTCATAATGAAAATTAAGAACTCTCCGTTTAAAAAATTTAAAGATGGCCAGCCTAAAATATTAATACGAGATGGAATCTCTAAAAAAGATACTTCTATACTTGAATTTATTTAAGTAAAATTCAATTAAGATAAATAAATTGAAATACTTACTAAGTTTTTTGAAGAAAATGATTAAGAATTAGTTGAGGATATTTTTTTGAATGATTTAGAAAATTAAAAAGAATAATAATAAATTCCTTAAACTTTTAATTAAATAATAGAAAATAAAGTTAAAATTACTTTATGAATTTATTTAAAAAACAAAAAATTAAAAAATATTAATGTAAATTTTATTTTATTTTTTAATCTAATCTTATATGTCTCTATTTATTTAGAAATTTATATTTTCTATTTTATTAATATTGAACTTAATTTTTTGTTATACATTAATATTATTTTATCATTTTTTATTAAATGATTTAATATAATAATATAATTGATGTCTAAATATATAATAGTTATTTTTAGGATATATATTCGATTTTTTCAAAATAATAATAATAATTAAAAAATTTTCGGATACCCTAAGAGTATATTAATAAATTTAATAAAAATAGTTTTTAAAGTTGAAAAAATTATTATGTTTAATTTATTTTATTTGAAAAGTTCGCAATCAATTATATTTTATTTTTTTAAATAATTTATAAAAAATATATTTAGAAAATTCAATAAAAATAAAATGAGATTATTATAAAAATATATATAAATCAATAATAAATTAAAATAATAATTCTGTATACAATCATAAATTATAATAAAGAACATAAGGCATAAATAATAATATAAAATAATTGATGAAAGAAACTTATTAAATTATAATACTAAATAAGATTTATTAGATTTATTCTATTCAAGAATAAATCCTTTAAATATAAACGAAAAGATAATAGTTTATTATAAAATAAGTGAGTTTTTATAAAATTTAACAAACGAATAGTTTCCTTAATAAGAAAATTTGATAAAAAATATTTTTTAAAATATACAAAACTAAGATGATTACTGTTAAAATATTTATTTAGGATTTTTATTAAAAGGTATGCTAAATTTAAACAATATTAAAAATATAGATTTTTGGATTAAAATTTGTGATATGATTTTAAATGAAAGGACTTTTTTAGAAAAAAATTAAATTTTTTTTATACTAGAAGGATTGGAATATATTTATAAATATTTAAATTAATAATATTAGAAAGATTTAATTATTAAAACTTATGAATATATTTAAAATATTTTAATTGATTTGGATTTTGATATTTCTTTGGAAGAATTATTATTTGTTTTAGATAAATTTTAACAGAGATAACTTAAATAACCATATTTTTTGGCATTCTGTGAAAACTAATTAATTAAGAAAATAAAAAGGCAACCTTAAAAAATAAAAAATGTACTTAACATAATATTTTTTCTTTGCTTAAATCAAAATAGTATTAATAATATTTTGGTTTAATATGTTCTTGATTTAGAATATGAGAAATTTATTGATTTAGATTTACTAAAAACATTAACTATATGTGTATTTTTTAAAGAAACGATGAAGAAGTAAATATAAATAAGCAATATTATAGAATAATAACTATTAGAAATATAAAAAAATAAATATACTTTAAAAGAAATAAATTAAATTTTAGAATAGATTAATTTTTTCTAATTTGAAAAAAAGAGTGAAATTTTATAAAATATAGTTGAATGCGCTTTTGATATAAAAACATAAAAAAATCTTCAAGAAATATCAATTTTATTATAAAAAGAGGATTTTTTAGATTAAAAAATTCACTAGATTGCTTAATTAAATATTTTTAAAGATTAAATATTTCTATAAAAAGAAGAAAATGTAAATTTTTTATTAAATTTTTTAGCATTTTTAGATTAAAATAATATATAATATTATTTTAAAAACTTGTATAATAATATTCCTCATTTTATAATTCCTAATAATGCAAGTAAATTCTAATTTGAAGATTAGTGTTTATTATATTATTATCTTATAAAAGAAAAAGAAATTTATGAAGATTTTCATTAAATAAATGGTTATTTGAATATTCTTAAAGAATATATTAAAATTACATATTCATAAATAGGAAATTCATTCAAAAGTAAATAAATTT